GCCCTCCCTGAGATGTGTCGCCCCAGCCACTGTCACACCACCCTCCCTGAGAGCCACTGAGCCGCCAGCCCCCGCCCCAGCGCCCTCCCAGCCTCTGACACCTCACCACCGAGCCAGCCCCCCACCCCGCGCCCTCCCTGCGATGCGCCCCCAGCTACTGACACACGCACCGCCTTCCCTGACAGCCACTGACACCCCCTCCAATCACCCTGCCAGTGCCTCCGGAAGATGGAGGAAAGGGAATCCCACAGACACTGACCCCATTATCTAGCTACAGATCCTAACACCCTCCCTGCGTCTCCGGCAGGCGTCAGTATCACGACACCTAGCCACAGACCCCAGCGCCTTCTCAGCCTTAGGGAGTCCCCTAGACACTAATCTCCCCCCCCCCCATCCAAAACACAGACCCCAGCGCCCTCCCTGAGCCTCCAGGGGGTTGATTCCCCCAGACACTGACCCCGTCGCCCTCTCTGAGCCTTGGGAAGAGTCCCCTAGACAATCAGCTCTTACTTCTCCTAGAGGTGTTCTCATGCACTGAACCCAACTTTACCCAATACATTTCAAGCACGTAGAAAACCAGAAAAGCATCCAAAGAAGTGGGTTGTAGCCCACGAAAGCTTATGCTCAAATAAATTTGTTAGTCTCCAAGGTGCCACAAGTACTCCTGTTCTTTTTACAGAAAACCATGGGTATTTGGGGATTCAGTTACCCTTAAAACAGGAGGATGGAGGGCTGCTCTTAAATTCTCTCACACAAATCCTAGTGAGAATGTACAAGCCGCATGAAAACACCCATTGCAAAAAACTACTCGTTGTAAGCATGAGAAACTTTTAAAACTGCCTTAAATGAAATGAGTGAAAAGAATGAAAAGAGTCTCCTGTGGAATGAGTGGGAAGCAGAGCAGATCTGAATCCATGAGTGTCACAAACTTTTAGGGAGTTCAGTAGATGCAGATTATGCTGAAGATGGGGGTACAGAATGGGAATTATATTATTTCATGTCGTCAGTAAACATATATAGCTGCAGTATTTTGCAGCAACAGTCCAAACCTCAGCAGTTACAGGTACATTGCTGTAGCATTTTAAGACTTCCATAGCATTTTCTTCCCATAGAAGGGTCAAATGCTGTCACCCTAACTCCTCTTTAAAGTATATTTGTCTGTGAGTAGTTGCACTGAAATCAGTGGGGGAGCACAATCTGGTCGGATGAGTATTTTTTGTCCTGGACCTTTTAGTCTGCACCAGCCCCAACAATCACAAACAGGGAAGCTTAGAAAAACCTTCTCTCCCTCTCTACCCATGCGAACTTTTCCATTTAACGCAACCACTTTAAAAAAGGAAAGCCTTCAATTCGTTTCGCTGCAAAGACTATGTTTAAAAAAAAAACTGAAGTGGGGGGGGGAGAGAGGGGAAAATCCAGGGGAAAAAAAGCAATGATTTTTAAATGAAGTGTTTAAACATTGTGTTCAACAGAAATCTGTGCTCCTGGGACAATACATTCTGACTGTGATAAATAGAGCTGAATTGACTGACAAGTTTGTACACGCTTGAAATTTTTGCAATTGTGTAACACTAAACAAATACAGACTTTTCTTTATTTTAATAGGCCTGGAGTGTGCTAGGAGAAAGGCCCCTGGTTGTCTTTGCAGTTGTTTACTCTGTGTAATGGAAAAAAAAAATCAATGAAAAGTTCCCAGTGTGTATGCTTAAACCATGCACTAGGTTAAATACAGCTCCTGAATATTATGGGATCTACATTGAAAACCACCAACTTGCTTTTTCAAAAGGGCAATGCATGCAAAGCATCTTTAGGATATACGTGATTGCGGGTATGTCTCCATTTGTAAACGAAACATTTTGTCAAAATGCCTGAATGAAGGAAACTCAGAATTAGAAGCATATTAGGAAGGAGGGTGAAATATCTTATTTTAAATTGGAGGGAAAGGCCAGTGTCAAGTAGTTTAGTTAGCACACTCAGATACTACAGTGATGGGTGTTTTAAAAATACTTTAAAAGATTAGATTAGATTAGGCCCAAAATGTATGCTTTGTTTAAAAAGAAAAAAGTTAAGATTTTTTGGGGAAAAATATAATCCCAGTTATTAATAGAAATGTTTCAATTTTTTATATGTCAAAATCATTTGGATTTAAGCATTCCTTTTCTGCCTTGTGTTAGTGTATGAAAACCCAAGTTGAAACTGACTGTAAATAAAAAAAAATGAAATTAACCTGTGCAGTTTTACAGCCGTTATTGGTGGAAGTAAAAACAACAACAAACACCCTCAATGCTCCCCCCACCATAAAGGGTAAAAGGTAAATGAAAATATTCAGCCTCTTGATTTTGATTAATTATTAATAACACCAGTAAGAAGATATACAGGATATTTATATGTCCTTTATGTAAACTAAAAGTGTGTGTAAGTCTGTGAAGATGGAGGAAGATGCAGGAAGCTCACCTTTCTCAGTCCCATTCTGATGTGCAGGGGAAGATACTGGATTCCTGGACCTGGCAAAAGCACTCATCAGAGGAAGGGCCCCTGGTCTGTGATTCCTGGGCCTAGAACAGAAGAAAAGAGCAGCATAACACTGTAATTGTTTCAGTCTAAAGGGCACTGCCTACACATTAGGGAATTATATTGCTCTGACTAAGATGGCCCTATTAATAACTCCAGTATGCAACTAGGACCTGATCCCACCCCACTGAAGAAGTCAATAGGGCTATTCAGGTGCTTGAGGCTAAGCAAATGCTTAAATTCCTTGCAGAATGGGGGCCTTAATATGGTTAGTAAAGGACAACAGACTTACCAGTCTTCTGGATCACAGTCTCTGAATCCTTTAGCGAAGGGGTTGCTGGCAATCTTGAGTTGTGTGATCTGAAAGGAGGAGGGAAGGGGGAAAAGGACTTTGAGTGGCACTTGCAGATATTTCTGATTAGAGTGCCTACTCCTTTAAACTGACTTCTGGGACAAATCAACCGAGTTTCACCCAGTATAATGGAGGGGGCCCAAATAGTATGTGCAGTCCTGGTTCCTCTTGGAAAATTATGGGCACCAGCAGGTTTGAGAGCTCTCTTTGCTTTGGAATACAGACATGTGGTTTCCCTCTGCTCGGAAATGCAGAATTGTATGCTATCTAATACGAGTTCAAGGCAAAGGGAGAGGCAGGCCGAGTCTGCTGCTGAAGCTGTGTAAATGCACTTGTAAGAAAATGCCACATTATATGGGTCACCACCAGAGCAGCTAAGACAAATCACTGGATAAATCATACTTATGTATTTATTTAATTCGCCAGGGAGAAGGCAGGACATTTTCTATATTTAAGCAAATCCACGGATAAAGTATGTGATTGTGAGTTTCCGGAATGGGTTGAAAAACAAACTTTAAGCCCCTCAGTGACAGTTCCAGCCTTAGAGGTCAAACTGATAGAAAGCAGGAGAGAAAGAGCAGCTGTCCTGAGCCATCAGGCAAATGCCAACTTGGGAGGGATGGGGGAGCCCCTTAAAGGCGCAGCACCCAGCTCTCAGCCCAGACGTCTTTGACTCTGTGGGTTTTGGATGTTGTCCAAATAATAATTGTGGAATTTTTTTATCCGTGTAAATTTGTTTATTTTAAAAGCTTGAAACAATTACAAAGGGTGGGATCTACACCTTTGGCTTCCTGGGAATAGGCACAACTAACTGTGCTAATAAAAATAATCAAATAATAGATAATAAAATAAGCGTTTTAATATTCCTACGAGACCCAAGAGTTACAAAGGGAAGAAGGAATCTGGCGTTCAATCAGCTCTCAGAGTTGGATAATCATATTTTACCTTGCGCTATTGGGAAAGATCCTTAATTTGAAACTCTAATTATAGACACGATTTGCTCCTCGGTTTATACTAAATGAATGTTATTTTAAAAAGCGACTGGATTTAATGCTACCCAAAATATGTTCTATTATTTGTGTGTTCCTGACGAACAGACCCAGGGTGGCAAATGCAGATAAGTAAAATAGCATATTTGTCCAAACAAATTTTGAGTGACATTTCGCAGCGTGAAGGCTGTAGTTTCCCAACTAGCCCGGGTCTCGGGTTTACATAGGTAATGATGTCCCTCTGGGTTTGAGGAAGTATTCTATGGAGTTAAAATTGCAAATCTGGAGCTCACGCAGCTTCCTCGGAGTGCAACAATGTAGCTTTGGAGCAGGGCTCCCTGAGCTATCAGATTCCATGAAAAGTCAAGGAATGGCTTTAGCAGATGGATAGGAGAACATCTCCCTAGACACCTTCCACAACTCGAATGGAGACTCAGAGACTGACACTTAAAAACCCCAGTTCAGCTCAGCCGTCTCATGCTCCAGACCTAGAGGAATCTTCAGCGAGGCAGAAAAAAGGACAGCAGATTGTTTCAGAGAAAACAGTCAGAACTCAGTAAACGCTGTTAAACTGATAGGCGGTGGCTCTGCTTACCCATAAAAGCTAATAGGCCTGTTCCAAAGTCCAGTGACATTGACTTCAGCGGGCGTTGGATCAAGCCCTAAATGGTTTGCAGTTCAAAGACTTGTTTTATTATTTGGTCTCCTTTCTCTCTTAGGTCATTTCGGATTTTCTCTGAAAGGAGGAGGAGATCTCTAGTTCATAGGCTTTGGGGCGACTATAAAATAATGTAGTACCATAGCTTGTTGTACACATGAGAAAATTAATGCTTAAGATGGAAAGAGTGTTTCTAATACAAACAGCAATTTAGCTTCTCTACAATTATAAATCACTCAGATGACTGTTTAAATAATAAAACTGTATATTTAAAAGGTTATATATTATCATTCCAGACTAACTTGTGTTGTAGTCTGACATTTCAAATATTAAATTGGTTTTGGATCCAATGATCAATCTAAAGCAATGAAATGATGTTTGTGTTCCGTTTGTTATAATCACATCTTTGTTATTAATGTTTTATTTGGTTTCCCACTGAATGCTTAGTCATTTCTACTGGATCACACATACATATTTTCCCCTCTTCCCCTTAACTAAAGTCTATACCATAGTAGTGTATTTGCTAAGAAGATTTTCCCTCAAACTCTCCTTATGCTTTATTATACACAGTAATATGAGATATACAACAATTCTCTGGAGAACATAACAAGGGGTATCCGTCTAGCAATCCCTGTTTCAGTCAGTGCCTGTGACCCCGAAGGGCTCTTGCTTCACAGTTGCTATAGACTTAATTAACATATTTTCTTACAGAATCCGAAATGCACATTTGAAATACTGAGGGGGGGGGGAAGGGGGAGAGAGTGTGTGTTCCTTTTTAACAAGCTCTAATTATTCTAATCGAGACAAACAAACTCAATATGACTCTTCAAGTGCGTGTTTTAATCCATGCGTTGAAAAAAAGTGCTTAAACCCAGAGCATCTGGCAACTCTCTGATTAGAAATGAGAATCAGAGTTTTTCAGATCTGGCATAATTCATTTTTGTTTAACTATTTTTTTTTTTTTGTCGCATTGAGTTGCTTGAAAACCTTCTTTAGAAAATCATACGGGTTTTTTTTTAATTAAAGAGAGTGTTGAAAGGTGATTGCATTTACCCAGTTCCAAGAAGCTAAAGACCCGTTCTATTTATTTGTATACTAACAAAGTTTCCACTGGCTGGGTATTACCTTTTAAGCATTGACTGCTCTGAATTAATATCCCCCCTCCTTCCCGGATCTCCATCCATCAAGGGGAAGGTTTTGATAAATGAAGTATCGGAGGGTTTGTGTCTCAGTAATGAACTCCAGATCCTCACCCTGTGATTCTGATAGGCGGTCACGGCGGTGAAGCGGGTCTCCTCGAACACAAACGTTTTAAAGTTCTCCTCTGCATACTTCTCGCTGTCTTTCCTGGGGTCCACGTAGACCACATGAAAACGAGGCTGGTATCTGTGCATGGAGTTCAAAATGATCTGAATGATAAAACGAGCAAGGAGATCATAATTGATTCATTCTACACCAGGCCGAGCGCTGAGAGGAGAGCACCGCGCTACGGGTATTGCACCCCTCCCTGCACAATGTCAGGCTGGCAGCCTGGAAATGGGCTCCTGGGGGGGAAAGGGGTCAGAGAAACAGCAGGGTTGCAGCTCCTCTGAGGCTACGTCGGTGCATAGTATTAATTCGGGTTAATGAAGGATTGATTCTTGTAGGAGGCTATGCAGTGAAACGCTCCGCACGTTGCTCTGAGGTCCTATTTGAAATCCTAGGCACAAGCACTGCAGGGGGGGGGGTCCCGTCTGAGCGGGATTCCCCAGCGAGCCTGCCTCCTTTAAAGAGGTGACTTCATGGGGGGCCAGACCGTTCTGCAGGGAACAGAGGGGAGAGCTGCTACAAGCCCATAGGCTCCACTATTAAATATAAAGAAAAAGGGGGAGGGGGACATGTACCTGAGCTACTGGGGAACATCGAACTGAATGTAAATAGGCGGGAAATCTTGGGACATACCCAATATATGGAACAGAAATGGGAGGATCAAATGGCTATCAAAAGAGAACAGCGTGTAGTTAACTCTGGGCCAGCCTGTTTTCCTTAAACACTCATTATTCCCCATGCAGTCAGTGCCCATCTCTGAAGCCAGTGGAAGTGGTGGGGATGCAAGGAATGGGGGAATCGGGCCCTTAGGGAAAAGTTCAAAGCTAAACTTAAAGTGTCCTGTGCCTCCTTCTTATGGGCCCGATCCAACTCCTGGAGTCAGCACTGGGTCTGGCAGCAAATATGACATTTGGGGTGTTTCCAATCAGAATGAGCAGTTACTGAAAGGACCCGATCCACCATTGCCTGATCCTTGGTTCCCCTCCCTAACACTTACGTGCCCATTGTCATCCAATAGATTGTTGGTCAGCTTCAGTTTATCGAAGGATACTATTTGTTTCATCCACTGGGCTCCTTTAGCAGGAGAGTCGGGGTGATAATGAACTCTCCCTGGGGTAGCAGGGTCAGCTTTGCCGGCCACCAGCCAGGAGGAGCTGTGGAAGGCATATCTGCAAAGGAGAGGCAAAGCTCTGTCAATGGCACTCGTGCTCCAGTTGGTTAAACATGTGTCTGGTAACAATCGGAGTTCTGCTCTGGACTAGCCACGTGAGCCAAGTCCTTACAAAAACTCTAGGGTTTTCTCAACGCTTTCCCCATCTACACCATGGCGAGGAGAACGTTTTCCTAAGTTCTCCGGTGGAATTCGCAAAAAGGAAAATCTGCGCGACAGGGAAAATGTATAGCTACCTGCACATATTTGGGATGGAAGCCAGAAATGCTACCGAATAAATAAAATTTAAAGAGTGAAAGGAAACCCTTTACACAGTAATGTTCTGGCTTTAAGTTAAAAGTGGACATTTATGTGCAGTTTAATAGCTGATCCAGAGTTTAGCAGTCTTGCTACAGTCTTTCAAAATCCATATTCAACAGTAACATTAAAAACAGAGACCAATCTTCTATGCACGTGTTTACTTTAAAAGCCAGTGTAGGCACAGGGGGGAATTATACACCATTGGAGTTGAGCAGAAACATTACTTTTTTAAAAAGATATTTTCAATTGGATGTTATATATCCCATTTCCCCTGACAAGCAAACGTTTCTGTAACGCCTTGAGAATTTGGATATCTGTCTAAATATTTATATATTCGACGCTGAGATTCATATGCACACTGGCTTTTAGGCGTCCTGATCTGAAGCGAAATGGATAATGAGCCTTTCACTGTCTTCAAATTAAAGGTGTTACAAATCAAACCGCATCATTGATTTGTGAGCCGCCTATTTCCCAGGTCTCCTTCCTATGCGCTCACTGAAAACAGAGAAAGAATTTGGAGAAATATGCGGTTGGCTTTGTTGGTGATTTTCCAAAGTGGCCTCAGGCTAGGACAATACAAGCTCTTTTCAGTGAAACATAAAGAAAACTAGTCTCGGAGGTTAGCGCGCACAGAGCAATACCCATTCCCTTGCTGTACACAATCACGCCCCAAAGCAAAAGCCTATGGGGATCTTTTATATGAGCTGAAAAATGAAATGTGATTCTTAAAAAGAGGTCTCTCCGACGTGGAATCTTCAAGAACTTTGATAAACAGCGAATTCTACAAACACTTTTCCTCCTAAAATCGCTGGTCTATAGTTATTGTGCTGAGAAAGCCATTTTATAGGCAGCATTTAGCCTGATTTAGAAGATCGACATTTCTCCCTGCAGATGCAGTTTATGAACTTAATTTTAATTTTTTTTAATATGAGAATTTGGGGTGAGTTGTTTTTTCCCCCAGAGATAAGTAAGAGTCTCAGTGTCATGGAATAAAGGGATTTTAAAAAAAACACTAATATCTATGTTTTGACTGTGTGTGTACCTGTAGAATATCCTGTTAGGATGAGGGAATATTTTACTTTAAAATACGTTAGGACAAATTCTGCTCTCAGTTACACCGACGTAAATTCGAAATCACTCCTAAACTCAATGGAATGATATGGAATTTACAGCGAATCACACCGAATCTGGCTGGCTGCTCCAAGAGCTAACTACAAAAAGGGGTGGCACCTTTTTATTACAGCCCAGATATTGTATTTTAAAACAGACACCCCCCCCACACACACACACACCACTGTGTGGTATTTGGAGAAATCTTTCCTTTCAGTGAGGAAGCCACAACGGATTCAAAACAATAAATCAAGCGTTTAGATTCCAAATCTAGTCCACTAGATTTTTAACTTCAGCCCAGACTTAAAGCACATCGAGAGTCAAACTAAATAATTGTCCCCGTGATAGAGAAGAACGCTTCTATCGTTCGAGTCCTGGGGCTTGTTAGGTGATGTCATAGAACCTGGAAATTTGAAAGACCGGTCAAAAGGGGAGCTGGCGGGCAGGGGAGTAGTGTGAATCCATTGCTGCAACAGGAGATCTATATTTAATGGCAGAAGCCAACCTAGACCCAATCTATTTTTTTAAATAAATATTTAACCTTTTTCTGTGAGAATTACTCAGGCTGTTGTGCATGAACTCAAAGCACCCGTGTAGCTGTAACCAAGCCTAATTTATGAGCTGTCTGACATAGGAGTAATTTTACACCCCCGGTTCAAATACGTTTCAATTAAAAAATTCTCTCACTCAGCATCTTGCGCGGAGTGGACAGGCACCTGGGTGCGTTTCACACCGGAGAGCTGCCGGGTTTAAGAAGGCAGGGAGGGAAGGGGGAATCGTGTTCGCGGTTCTGTTCTCCCTCCCTTTGCCATTCACAAGCAGGGGTGAGCCTGGTCCAAAGCCCACTGAAGTCAGTGGAAAAGCTCCGACTTGCTGCTTTGGGCACTGACTCGGGGAAGTATTTCCATGTGTCTCTTTCCCTCGGTTCCCCATCGCAGTCCCGGCTAGAGGACTCAAGGAAAAGCTTATTCTACTTGCCGATATCTTTTGTCGTCCACGGGTACAAAATCCATTAACAACATGTAATCAGCCATGGGGTCCATTCCAAATATCTTCACCTGGAAGGTGGGGAACATGCGCCTGGGGCAGGAGAGAAAAACCACAAGGCGTGGGTCAGAACAGCCACCAGCTCCTCGCCTGCAGTAATCGGGGACTCGCATCTGGTCCCATTTCACTCCATTCTATCTGCACGGGGATCGTTTCCCTCTTGCAGATAAAACCTTTTCCTCCTTTCTGGCTGTAGATCGATGGACCGAGCACAGAATAGGTGATGAACGAGGGTGAGTTAGAAACCATATATTCATCCCTGGACCCGGGAGAGCTGGGGGACTTTACAGATCAAAGATTTACCATATTGTGGACTAGACTCAGACCGTGGGGACGCTGAAAATGCAACAGATAATTGGAGTGGGGGTTCCATGGAAGAGACATAGGGCCCAATCCTGAACGCCTTCCCCAAACAGACCCACCAAGATCAGCCCCTAGGGCATGCATGAAGTTAAGTTAGCCGAGTATTTTTATACTGATGTCAAATTGCCTCCTAGGAACCGGTAAAACTTTCCTATTTCAAATCTTATAAGAAGTCACCGAAGGACATGAAAGAGCTGGGACCCGCTGAGAAGTTAGATTCAGTTCTAGCGTGGCTAGATGAATCTCACACAAGGCTCCTGTGTTTTAATAACGAGCTGTTATTCCGGGGAGGCGGGGGAGGCTTAGAGATGCGCCAGGCTGGCGGACAATCGGAGCGCCTCCCTAGAAAGGGTATCGCTGTCTGTGTCTCTCCCCCCGCCCCCATTTCAATAGTGTGTGAGTGAGGGGTTACTTTCCCTGCCATTTGGCAACGTCCCCCCACCCCGCAAGCTGTTTGCACAAGGTTGAAAGCTCGTTAGTTGCAAGAGTCTCTTGCAGGGTTGTGCACAAATGCCTGATAGTTCCCCGGGGCTGGGGGGCTTTATAAGGGAGCTCCCAGGAGAAATCTGTCCGTGAACTCGCACATAAAACGTTGGCTGAACATTCAAGTTTGATTTCTGTGATTATACATACAGCTATAAACCCTGTGAATAATCCCTTAGAAATCAGAAGGTCACTAGAAAGAGAGTGACGCTCATTTTAAATTCCCTTTCGGGGTCTTTCAGACATAGCTCCACAGCTCATGCTCGCTTTCCAAAAAAAAATCAAAACAAACAAACAAAGAAAAACAAGCAGACCAAAAACCAACACCGCCCCCCAAATAAAACAGACGAAATCTGTGCGGGTAAATAGCAAGAGAGGAGACCCCCAGCCTCACACACACAGTCCAACGGATCCTAGCGCAACTCTTCTATTCACTCCCAGCCGAATAGCACCGATCTAAAGAACTGCTGCGTTTGTGGGGTCTGAACGCGCGTCCGAGATGCGCACACGCTCCAGTTTTGCTGCTTCTCTCTGGAACCCTCCAGGAATTTCTCCCTGTTCACACCCACTTTGCTCGGCTCCCTGAAGTTAAAGCAGGAGTGAAGTGTGTGTGAGCGCGCTGCGGGCTCTGTATCCCGGTCTCCTCTCCGGGACTAGCTTGACTGGCACTGTCGCCTCACAATGGCAAAGGAAGACACGTGAAATACGCCCGGGAGCCCTTTGAACTCATTTACTTTCTAAACCAGGCTAGTGGGGTAGGTGAGTTACCAAGTGTCATTTCTGACATTCCATCCCCGCTGTACCGAAAACACACGCACCAGGTCAATGGGGCAGGGTGTGTGTCTGTCTCTCCTGGGGGGGGGAGGGTTTCAGAGCGTTCCCCCAACTCCCTACATTTCCTGACGCGATAGTCACTTGGTTCCCCTCGGACTCCCCCAGCGCGCACGGATTGGGGGACAGACGCTCCTTTCCAGCGCCGAAGGGGCTCAAGGCCACCAGCGCTCTGTTCATTTTGCAGCCGACTGACCAAGTTTGGTCTCGTTTTCGAAAACAAATATCCCCAGCTAGGCGTGCGCTCCGCGGCACTGTCCCCAAGCCAGGCAAGCGAGCATGGGACATTTCCCCTCCCAGCCAGGCTACCGAGAAAAGTGGAGAGGGTCTCTCTTCCGCATTTTCCTCTCTTGACTTATACCAGGAAGGGGCTCGTTCTGCTTTGGCACCTTGACCCGCACACACCCAGCAATGCGTTTGGAGGCCAGCATTTTCCAAAGGCTGCGAGTTAAAGGTGAACTCAGATGAGCTAGTGACATGGAATATCAACCCCCCCCCCCCCAATCACGTAAAAAATCTCCCATTTGACATTATGCACTTTTTGGCAAATGCTGAGGGGCGGGTT